TCGACAAAAATGATGGGTGCCGACATGTTTCCCGATGTGTGCTGTCACGTGCTCAGGCGCACCTGACACACTCTGCACGTGCCCCGAACGTGGCGCACCTGGCACGACTGGAGTCTGCGGCGTACCTGGCGCACGCGGAGCAAGTGGCGCATCTGGCGCACCAGCCGTGCCTGGCACACTCGGACCCAAGGGGTGCCTGGCGCGCGTGGCGCGCCTGGCATGCGTGGCGCACCTTGCCCCAGCGTCGCGCACATGTGGTCGGTTCTGATACCCAGTAGCTGTCCATCCAAAGACGACCGCTGGACATGTTCAGGCGCCGGTGTTACTCAAGTCTTGGGAGGGCGGGTGGGAGTGAGCTAGACGGCTGGCCATTCAGGGAATGTCTTGACTCCTCCTACCCCCTCCCATGTGCCTGGGAGGAGGGCGGGCCGGGTAGCGAGAGTTTCAAGATGGGCCCAAGATGGCTCCGAGAGGGCCCTTGGCAGCCCAAGACAGCCTCCAAGATCGCTCAAGGCAGCCGAACATGGTTCAAGACAGCCTCCTACATACCTCCAAAAGGCCCCAAGAATGCCCCAAGACGGTTCCAAGTGCCCTTGAGCCTTCCTACGCACCCACCAAGAGACCAACATCCCTCAATGACCTACTGATAATCATTTGTTCGCCTTCTTGCTTTTTCACTTCAGATGGGCTTTTGAGGCCTCAAGATGGCCCCATGGCGGCTCAAGAGAGCCCTAAGAGGGGCTCAAGAGGACCTTTTTCCTTTCCAGCTCGAGGGGTCCAGATTCAGGCGAAGCACTGGATTAGCACTGACTTCGTAATCGAAGCACCGCGTCACCTCTAAGCTCCGCCCGAGGTTGTATCCAGAGATGGCTTATCCTACAGAGCCGACGCTCATATCTGCAGAGATGTGGACCACTGTCAGCCCACGGCTGCCAAGAGGGCCCCAAGAACGCCCAAGAGCGCTGCAAGAGCGGCCCAAGAGAGCCCCAACATGCAATTGTTGAGTTTCCGATGGGGCTGACCTGAATTGGTTGCGCCCCTCTTTTTGAGCCATGCAGCACAAGAGGCTTCCCAGAACCCTCCACTGAGCCCCAATTAGGCCCCAAGACCCCTAACTTGAGCTGTAAGAGGGCCCCAAGAAGCCCCTTGAGATGGCCTTAGTCGTCCGTCAAGCACCGTTCGAACAACATATCTCCAAGACCGACCTTCCCCCTCCATTCCTGCTTCCTCCCTCCTCCCCCGTCTCCTTATTCTCCTCCTCCTCCTCGTCCTCGTCCTCGTCCTCGTCCGCATCATCATCATCCCCCTCATCATCGTCATCATCATCATCATCATCATCATCATCATCATCCTCATCATCATCATCATCATCATCATCAGCATCATCATCAGCATCAGCATCGTCATCAGCATCATCATCATCATCATCAGCATCAGCATCAGCATCAGCATCAGCATCATCATCATCATCATCATCATCAGCATAATCAGCATCATCATCAGCATCAGCATCATCATCAGCAGCAGCATCAGCATCATAATCAGCATCAGCATCATCATCATCAGCATCATCATCATTATCATCATCACCACCACCACCATCATCATCATAATCATCATCATCACAGCCATCACCATCAAAATTAGCATCATCACCAGTATCATCATCAGCATCCGCATCCTCATCATCATCATCATCAACATCATCGCCATCATCAGCATCAGCCGCATCAACATAATCATCATCAACATCATCGGCATCATAGTCAGCATTATCATCAGCATCATCATCATCTGCATCAACATCATCATCACCATACTCGTCAGCATCACCACCACCACCATCATCATCATAATCCTCATCATCCTTATCCAAATCATCATCATTCTCATAATCCTAATGCTCGTCCTCATCCTCATACTCCTCCTCCTCCTCCTCCTCTTCCTCCTCATCATCATCAGCATCACCACCACCATCACCATCACCATCACCATCACCATCACCATCATCATTATTATCATCATCATCCTCATCATCATCATCATCATCATCATCATCATCATCATGAGCATCATCATCATCCTCATGTTTCTCCTCATCTTCATCCTCATCTTCATCATGATCAAATTCATCCTCGTGCCGCATTTATCCTCCTCCTCCTCCTTCTTGCCCTTCCTCTCCCTTCTCTCTGTTTCATCCTTCGTCTCCTCCTCCTCCTCCGCCTACTCCTCATCTTCCTCCTCCTCCTCCACCAAAGATGGCCCCAGGAGGTCGAGCATGGCTCAATATAGCCTCCGACAAAGTGCCAAGATGCCTCAAGACAGCCTCACCATGGCCCAGGATAGCTGAGGGTGGCTCAGGACAGCCTCCGACAGCTTCTAGCCGAGGCCTAGCTCAATACAGCCTCCGAAACGCCTCGAGAGAGCCCCTGATCGTGTCTGGATGGGCCGGTGGGGGGACACGGGAAGCGTCAAGAAGTCGCCATTTCCGTCGACGTCGCGGCCAGCCTCGTATTTGGACCAGATGGGCCTCACCTTCTGCGGATCCTGCCGGGGCGGCCGGGGCGACACGCCGACCAGGGGGGGGGGGAGGGCGAGGCAGGGGAGCGCGAGGAGAGGGCGGGGGCGAGCGAACTGGGGGAGCAGAAAGCAGCAGGACGGATACGGGACGAGTATGAGGATGATGAGGACGAGCCGCGAGAAAGACATGGGAGCTCAACTGGTCTGCGCGCAGTCACGGGAGGGAGTAGCGGAGGAGGAAAAGGAGGAGAAGGAAGACAGCGAAATGAGCTGTTTTCCGCTCCGTTCCGTGGCCGTTCTTTTTGTCTGTCGTTCTGCTCTTCCTGTTCGCCTGCGCCTCCCTGCCAGATCGAGCGACGGAAGACGGCCGAAGTCCAGCAGGGCAGCGTTTCGATCCAGCCCCAGGTCAACGCTCCACGCCCGCGGGGCCGTGCAGAATTCCGAGGCGGTTGACATGGAGTACTCTGGATGGTCTTTTATCGAGGGGGGAAGGGGATGAGTATCCTTCTGACTGGCCAATCCCGTCCCCCTCCATCCTCCTCCCCCTTCCCCTCCTCCTCCTCCTCCTCCTCCTCCTCCTCCTCCTCCTCCTCTTCCTCCACCCCCCCCCTCCACCCGTTCCGACAGCACGTGCCCAACACCCCCAGCGGATAGAAGGGTGGGGGGCGATTATTGCCCCATCCAGAGTAGGAATCGCTGGGCGAAGACGTGACTATCGCTGACCTGCTCTGCGCACAGCGCGTGGTTCAGGCTTCATTCTGGTACCTCTCTCGATGTCCCTGGCCCCCAGGTCCCTCCCGGCGCGTCCTTGTGGTGGGCGTGGTGCGCTGGAGGGATGTCCCGCTGGAAGCTCGGGGTCAGTGCAAAGTTGTCCCCTGCCGGCGGGGCCGTGACTCCACGGAGGAAGGGCGAGCTCAAGGAGCGCACAAGCTATTGTGCAGCAGAGACGAGGCACGAGAGGTGTCCGCAGGGAGAACCACCATGGCGCAGGAGCACAGAGGCGATCGTTGGCCCGCCCCTTTCTGCTACTCCTCCTCCCCCTCCTCCTCCACCTCCGACCTCCTTCCCATACTTCTCCTTCTTCTGCTCATCCTCATCATTATACTGCTCCTCTTCCGACTCTTCATCGTGATCATCATCATCATCGTCGTCGGCAACACCACCATCGTCGTAACATGATTTCCTCCTCTTCTCGTTTCCACCTCCTCCTCCTTCTCCTCCTCCTCCTCTTCATCCTCCCTCACTTCCTCATCACCTTCCTCATCATGTTAATATCCATCATCTTCCTCATCATCAGCCTTCAGCTCCACGTCACACACTCATTATCGAATCCACCCCCAACCCTGACGCGACCCAAAGATTACTACAAAGGCATCCGGAACAACGCTACAACCCTGATCCCTCCAATCCTCGTCCTCCTCTTCCTCCTCCTCTTCCTTCTCGTTGAACGGATTGGGACTCAGAGCGGCGAGGGTACGTGGCTGCTTCTGAGAATAGTCGAAAGTCATAGGGCCTAAAGTGCCCCAACAACCAGCCATGCCAACAGTTGTGTGATATACATATACGTAACCTCAGAAGGTCTTTAGAACCCCCCCCCTTAACAAGTGAAGGTGGTGTCCCACCAATCGTGGGAAACAACTTATTTGTTTCCCGCGGCGCCCGTCAGCAGCGCTCTCATGGAAAATCTTGGTTCAGACTCTTGGCACTCAGAAACTCCCTCTCCTGAAAACTACATCCTTCTGCCCGCAGTACTAGGCAGACGGTTTCGAGCAAACTCGCAAATCAAATGAAGTAATTCCTATTGCAATTATCATGAGAAGATGTTTACACATCCTCCCACGTGCAGGGTAGCCCGCAGTGGATTAGTCCGCTGGAAAAAAAACCCAAACATTTCCAAGGCCGCGCAACAATTGAGGGAATATCATTTCCGTCGCGATGAAGAGGTTGCAATTGCAGGACCAATTTGATTCGCCGCCGAGAGCAGGGGGGGGTAAATCTAAAGACCTTTATAAGGGCATACGCGTTGATATAGATGTGTAAATGTATATGTCTATGTATGTGTGCGGGTGTCTGTGCGTGTGTCTTCTCAAGCGTGTCGGCTCACGTCGTGCTTTAAAACATGCAAAACAGCGCGCCAGAACTTTCAAACCTCTCCCGCCTGTTTCCCCAACTACTGAAGCGTCAGATCCTCAACTGGCGCACTAGAATCCACCTGGCATGACCGGACTGCATGGAGCGTCGGCGAACTTTGGAGGGGGGGTAAGGTGTGAAGAGGGAGCAGCCTGTGAGCAGCTAGGGTCACAAAGGGGTCGGAGCAGGAGACGGCGACAACGATAGGATCAAAGGGCTGCAGGTGCACGCACACCGCCTGGGTAGCCTGAAGGAGGAGAATGAGGTGAAGGCGGAGGGGGCGGTGAGCAGCTGGGAGGCAGGGAGAAGGAGCAGCAGCAGCACGAGCAGGAGCAGAAGGAGACGCAGCGGCAGCTCCGCGAGTCCGCAGCTCCCCTCCGGCCGGTGCTGCCCGGCTGCTGCCCGCCACTCCCCGCCCCAGGCCACTTCAGAAGGCTCGGGGGGAGCAGCGGCAGCACGAGGAGGACAAGGGGAGGAGGACGAGGGGGAGGACGGGGAGGAGAACGAGGACGAGGAGGAGGAGGAGGCCAAGGAGGAGAGGGACGCGGAGGACGAGGGCGAGGGCGAGGAGGAGAAGGAGGACGAGGACGAGGAGGAGAAGCAGAGGCGACGGCACGAGAAGAGGATGCGGACGAAGAGAGGATCAGGAGAAAGAGCAGCAGCAGAACGCGAAGCACAGAAGCACGAGGGCGAGAGGATTTCTGAATGGAGATGACATGAAAAATCCTTCCCCATCAGCGCTTTATCGAGCCCAACGGCCACAAGGCCTGACGCGCCAGGTAATCAATGGCTATGGGGAGGAGAAGGTGGAAAAGAAGGAGGGGTAGTGGGATGAGGACGGCGACGACGACGACGAGGAGAGCGAGGACGACGGATGACGAGAATGATGCTAACGATGAGAGCGAGAAGATCGCCTGCACACATCGCCGTTGGGCGCCTCTTTGGGGCTCTTCGGGATCGTCGATGAAGCGTTTTTGGCGCTTCGTGCGTGCGTCTTCGCGCGTTCTGTGAGCCTCTTGTAGTCGATTGGCGCCTCTTGGGGCTGTATGGGGTTCCACTGGGGGGCCTGCGGCATCCTCGGAAGCCTATCGGAGACGAAAAAGCGAGGTGGAAATTATATAGTTTCTTACGCTTGTTCAATGATTCCGGCCTCTCGAGGACTTGCCGGGAACTCTCTTGGGCGTCTTGGAGGCCTCTTGGGGGTTTCTTGGCGCTCTCTTGGGCGCTCGTTGGGGAGGCTCCTGGGCAGTCGAAAAGCCGTCTTTGACTATCTTAATGCACGGTTGGGCTGAAACAGAACGAGAAACCATTCGGAGACAACAACACGCGTGATCTGTGCATTTAGTTTTGAGAAAATCGGCGCAGCGGGGCAGCCGTCAAATCAAGCTCGTGCTTCACGAAAAGCAAGACGGAGCGGGTTTTTAAATAGTTGGAAGCTCTGCTCGAGCGCCCCTAGGCGTCCGCAAACTACCGCTGCTTCACCTGGGGCCCGCCCATGGTGGTGTCAATGCGCTTGTCCATGAGGTCCCAGTTCACCTTCTCGAACATGGTGTCCACGTCAGAGCGCTTGGCAACCAGCAGCGGGCGCTTGCCGTACGGCACGGAGGTGTACAGCTGCACCGCCAGGCCGCCAGGGCTCATGTCTGCGGCCAGCCAGACCCAACCCTTTCCGTCGTCAATCACCTTCTGGGTCTCGTCGCTCCCGGGGCCGCCCTTGACGACGTGCTTGCCCAGCTTCATCTGCTCCTTCAGGCCCGCAATGCCGACGGCGATGTCCCTCTTGCCGATCCCCCCAGGGGGAGGGCCCTTCCACTGGCCGCTGTAGCGGGTGAACGTGCCCCTCTCGTCCCACACCCCGTGGAAGTGCTTGACGATGAGCTCCGCCGCGATCGTACCCTTCGGGGGGTCGCCGCCGTTGCCCGAAATCGTCTCGTCGTAGAATGCCTGGATGTCGGCATCACTGACATCGTACTCGCCGCCGCCGCGCGCGGCGAGGGCCACCTGCCCCCGCGCGGTGGCCACCGAGGCGGCCGGACGAGCCGTGGGCGCGGGCGCCACGAAGGCGCTCGGCAGGAGGTAGAGCCCGAGCGCGATGGCCAGGCAGGCTGGCAGCGCGGTGCCGCGGAGGGAAGCCATGGCAGCACGCGGCCGGGCGAACGGCGCCGAGCGTGACCGAGAGATTCTGAGCCCAAGGCCAGAGTCGCTTGAGCCAAAATGGCTCTGGACGAGCACGAGGATGAGGGCACAGGCGATGAGGAGGACACGGACTTGAGCCATGATCTGCTGCCGAACCATACTCCCGACCAACAGGAGCTGACAGGCAGAGCGAACGAACGGCATTGGCCGCAGGCCCCTTTTAAACCCAGTGGCCACCACCTGATCGCACGGCTTCTTACTGGGCATGCCTGGCCGCAATCCCCCTAGAGACGAGAATAAGGATGTGAGTAGTTGTCACAAACGAAGAACACATCATTATAATTTCTTGTATAGTCTGGAAACCGGAGCGATGGGGATGCGAGGGCCTTGGAAGGCCATGTCTACACTGTGCGAAGGGGGCGCTCATCCTCTAGGGGAACGAAGAATGACATAAACATAAAAACTCGGAAGTCCGCGCGGTTTTCTCGGATCCGCGATGGACCCCCCTCCCTGGCGCGCGCAGCGCGACAGGGGCGGCGTCGGGGGCGCCGCCAAGAGGGTCCCAGCGCCTATCCGAGAAAGCCGCGCGGACCTCCGAGGTTTTATGTTTATGCCGTTCTTCGTTGCCCTAGCTCATCCTGACTGTGCGGACTAACCGTTGCAGATCAGGACATCGCCCGGCCCCGCCTCGAGGGGAGGGAGGGAGGGAGGAGGGGACGAAGGGAGGGAGGGAGGGAGGGAGGGGACGGACGAAGAGAGGGAGGGAAGGGGGGTTTCTAGCAATGTGCGGCCTCTGGGGGCCCTCGCCAGGCCCCGGGGCCGTCAGAGCAAGGCCCCGGGACGAAGAACTGGCGCCCGGGAAGCGGTCCGAGACCTCTGGGGCCCGCGCACATCGAAGAGATTGGAGCGGCAGGACGTCGGGGGGGGAGATATTCGACGGGACGACGGAGGGAGGGAGGGAGGAGGGAGGAGGAGGAGGAGGGAGAGGAGGAGGGAGGAGGAGGAGGGAGGAGGAGGGGAGGGAGGAGGAGGAGGAGGAGGAGGAGGAGGAGGAGGAGGAGGGAGGAGGAGGATATTTGGCGCCTTTGGCGAAAGTTACTACGCTCCCTCCTGGATGCACTAGGGCTGGGGGGAGAAGGGATGGGGGAGTTGATCGAAGGGACGCGACGTAAGGAAGAAGGGAGCGTGCGAGGAGGGAAGGGGTGCGTGGTGGAAGGACGATGAAGGACTGCCGGGAGGATGGGGGGACCGAGCGACCAGCGCTGCGGACACCGTCCGGGCCTAGCTAAGACCACATGGGCGAGGCCGTGGCCTCAGGAATCTGGTGTGTGCGTGTGTGCGAATCACATGCAATGCGAGATGCGTAAAACGTTCATAGAGGAGGGAGGGAGGAGAGGTCTTTGGAGTCGGCGTCGGAGCGAGGATCGGCATGCTTGTGTCCGTGGGGGGAGGAAAGGGAGGGAGGGAGGGGAGGGGAAAGGTCCACGACGTTGATGTCGGCATGATGCCCGTTCACGTCTTGGTGTATTGGTGCTCGAGGTCTGACCACGTTGTGGAGTCTTCGGCCGTGCAAACCCACGCGAGGTCATTCGGCTGTCCCTCGTCGCATGTAGGGGCCGTGGCTGGGTAGAGGTCCGGCCTGCGCTGACGTAGGTGTGCGAGAGCTTCATCGTCCCAGCTCTTGTGCTGGCCCCCTTGTTGTCGATGGGCGTATGGCTGCCATTGCAAAGCCCTCCACGTCCACCTGGTGGGTGGGCACGCGGTTGGCCACTTTCGCGGCCATTCTCCATGTCGTCACCCAGCTGTCTATGCGGTCGAACTTCATGAGCTGCTCCGCGTGTCGCGTAGCGCGTTGGTTGAATTTGGCCCAAGGTTCCCCGAGGTCCACGTCGTTGTTGTTCTCGTCGGTGCCATCACTGCGGCGTGCTGGTGTCGACGCTGTGTCGCGTTGCGGCAGCTTGCTGCCTGCGTCGTCGCTCCTGCTGTTGTCTTGGGAGTCGTCGGCGAATCTGTCTTACCGGCCTGGAACATATCCCTATCCCTATGCTGGGCACCTCCTCATCACGATGCCAATCTCAGGGATGCCCTTATTTATTGAGGGCGAATCCCTGAGATTGTCATCGCCTTTTGACGTGTCAGTCTTAGGGATAGGGATACGTTCGAGGCTGGTAATGTTTGGCTCGTCGCTGTCCGTGCCGTCGACGCCCGTCGTGCCCTGGATGCCGCTGCCGCCTGCCGGGGTGGCGCCCTCTCACCGAGGCGTCCTCCTGATAGTCGTGCGAGCACGCGCCCCTGTCCGCCAGGAGGTGTTACCGAAGCGGTTCCGTAAGTGTCCACGTCGCTGCTCCGCTCCGTGCTGTCGGCGTGCCAGTGTTAGGGGAACAAAAAAGGGCATGAACATAAAAACTCGGAGGTCCGCGCGGATTTCTCGGATCGGCGCTGGGGCCCCCTCCCTGGCGCGCGCAGCGCGCCAGGAGGCGCCGCCGGGGGGCCCCACAACCGATCCCAGAAATCCGCGCGGACCTCCGACTTGTTATGGTCATGTCACTTGTTGTTCCCCAAAGTGTTGCAGAAGAAAGCCTGAGTCGGTGTGCAAGTTGGCAAGGTCTACCGATCAGTTCTTGCTTGTGAGGAGTGAACGGTGCCCATTCAACTCTTGTGCGCGATGGTAGACTTCTGTCTCCACGGGACGGTGGGAGCTGATGTGTTGGTCGAGACTTTTTGGGCTGCCCTCGGAAGGAAGAACATCGATGTCCGTGTCCTGAACGCGTGCTGTGCGCGAGCTCGCCCTGCTTGCCCTTCTCGCGAAATTGTTCATGGTGTTGGTCTTGTCTGGGTGCAGCTCGAGCCCGTGGGGTCGCGCTGCGCTTGCTATGTCGTCGAGCGCGGCGGCGAGGCGCGGAAAGGTTTGGCTCGTCAGGACCACGTCGTCGGCGAAGTGCAAATATGTGAGCGTCGAGGTGGTCGTGGATCCTAGCCGCACTCCTTGGCGTGTCTTCTGCCGGTCAGCGATCAATGGTGCAATGATGTGCTGCAGAAATGCGAGAAAAAACAAAGGGCTGACTGGGTCGCCTTGCTTAGTACCACGCAGAAGACTGAACGGTCTGCTGGTGACGTCTGTCTGCACCGTGGCCGTCCTGCGCATACCTGCTAGAGTCGGGAAATGCACCCTTGTGGTACACCCTGCGCTTCCATTACTGCCCAAATGCTCGTGAGTGCTGCAGGGTCAGACGTTTGTTTCAAGTCGAGTGCTGCGACCCAAGAATTATGGTTTTTGTCACCCGCACGTTCACGTAGGATGCGAAACGTAAACAGGTGGTCGACCGTCGAATGCTCTGGTCTGAACCTCGCCTGGTCAGCAGTCTGTCAGAGTCCAGTGTAGGTTAGAGCCGGTTGTAGGCCAGACGACTGGAGAGTTTGTACTGTAGTGGTATCGTGCAGGTTGGTCGGTGATTCTGGGGAAGCGCGAGATCGCCACTTTTTGGAATGACAGTGAAGACGCTGCTCCTCCAGCTAGCCGGCAGCGGGGCCTTCAGCTGGATGGTTGTGTTGTAGAGATGGAGATGCGCACTGTTGAGCTCCGCCGTGTTTTCTTTCGGCATCTCTGCTCGGAGGCCCTTGGTGTCGGGGGCCTTACCATGTCAGAGTCCTTTGCTTACTTTGCTGTGCTCTGTCATGGTGATGGGTGTGATGTCGTCGCCAAGTCCTTCTTGCAGCGTCGGCGCTGCTTGTGGTGCTGCTGGTCGATGGTGGGTGTTGGTGTGATGCTGGTCGGTTTGGGTCGGTGCTGCATGTGGTGCTGGTCGGTGGCAGTCTGTGGCCGCTGGTGGGTGCTGCTGATCGGTTGGGGTCGGCACTGCTTGTGGTGCTGCTGGTCAGTGGTGGTCGGCGGTGGGTGCTGGTTCGTGTTGCTATTTGGGCTGGGGGCAGGGAGGCTCAGTGTCTCGACTGGCGCCAGCCAGGGAGATACGACATCAGCGAATGCAATGTGACCGATAAACAATTGCCGTTCGCAACCTCGGCATGTCGCCGCCCGTCGCCGTTGCGCGAAGCGTGTTGAACTGCTGCGAGACCATATCACCATCGCTAACTCTAATCGTACTGCAGGCTCGTGTCGTGTCGACCACGGCGCTCGCTCCTGACACCGCGGGGATCGTTCAGCATCGCCCGATTCTAGGTCGCTGGCAGCGTTCAATGTTGAACGCCAACGCTGGGGTCGCCGCCAGTGGAAACGACGCGAACCTACCTTACCTGTCGGTCGGAAGAAGTAGGTGGAAACATAAAGTAGGAAAGCGTTGAATAGGGTGGATGTCCGCCAACCGCCTGGAGAGGAGGGAAGAACCACTCGATCCTTGAAGTAGGAAGGCGCTCAAAGCTAAGGCTGGAATCTGGAATGTGGGAATCCAAGAATGCCTGCTTTTAACGACCGGTGGGTTTTTTTTTGGCCCGCAAAATCCTCTGCTTTCCAATCGTCCTGTTCGCTGTGTTCTCTCACCTCGCTCGCCTCGGTCTCCTCGTTCTGCATTGGAGATAGAACGGCGTCAAGCAACTCACGGCGCGACTCATTGATGTTACTGCAGAGTTATGTGACCAAGACTGTGACCTCTGCTGTGACCTCTGCAGGGGAACCAGCATTTTTCAACGACTGGCGTGCATTCGCCCATGGCGCACTTCTGCCACACCCTCATCGTCAGCCCTCATCCGTTCTTCCATCCAGCGCTCTGGCCGGGCTGGGTGCGGCCGCCGCGGGGCCATTCCATCCTCCTCCTCCTCCTCCTCCTCGCCATCGCTCGGGCGTCCATTCCCTGTGCATGTTTCGATGTCGCGCGTGCATTTTTTGCAAGGTGATCCACGATGTTCCTCGATGGTCCTCGCCAAGAAAAAATGCAGACGTCCGAGCTATGCCAACCCTGCACCTCTTCTCCACTAACCCTCATGGTTTGTAATTTTTGAGCTCTTCCACTACTCACTGACCTGCTCTGACCTCCACGTTCTACCTT